TGACTCAAGAATAGGAAGTAAAAAGAATTCACTTTTTTCATTACCTACAAGTGGAGAAAAATATTTTTCTCTTTCACGATTGACTAAACACGAAAATAACTTGGAAGAAAAAGAAAAAAAAATGGCATTTTTCTTCTTGTTTATATTCACAAAAACATTACTGTTTTCGCATAGAAAATCGTTCGATTGGTATATATAAGTATCTGCTGTTGAGATTGTAATGTTTTATGAAATTTAACTTAACAGATTCTAGCGTATATACAACAACATTGCCCATAACGATGTCGTCTGAAAATAAATATAAAGATTCCCTGGAAGCATCGTTGAATGACGTGACAGATCGTCGAGTGTATCGAGAGGAAGCACAACTTTCTATCTATCATTATGTTGATGGAGAGAATACTGCAACTGACACTCGTGAAAGTCGTCGTACTCGTTTTGTGTACTCATCGGATACGTCATCTCCAGCAGCGTCGTCAACTGTCGTTTCTAACGCTGATACTCCCGTCACTACTAAATTTGATAGTTGTGACTTATTTGAGGAACGAGATCATTACGATTGGGAACTTGTTGATACGAACGTTCTTCAGACAGCTCTCAACTTTAGAGAGGAATTAATACCATGGAACAATGACAACAAAAAACTAAAAAAGAAAATTTATACTATCAATAAAGGCTACTTAGCACTGCGTTTAGATTACATAACAGATAAGAACCAAATCAACAATATCCGTAAATTCTTCGAGCAAGCAATGCAAGAATGCGATCCAAGCCGTATTGTAAAGGCGTATTCTGTGAGCCAAAGCTTTTCTAAACTTCTGAATAAAGATATGGCACGTATTGTACTGCACGATATTCATAAAGGATGCAGTAAATTTAGTTGTGATACTTTGTATACAACACAAGATGGTACAAAATCAATTGCCAGTATTCTCTTGTACCATCCAGGATTCACTACATACCAAGGAAGGGTTTATCGTGGTATATTCGGCTCAAGAGAATTAGGAAATATTCAGGTGAATCGCTGTATTATGACTAATACATTTTTGTCAACATCAAAACTACCTGAAATAGCTGATATATTTGCATCGTATGATCGAACAGATCAAAAACTTACTCAAGAAGGTAAAGAAGGCGAAGTATCAATTGGTTGTACATTCATAATCAAAAATATCAATGGACATCGTCGAGCATTAGATATAAGTGGTATATCTGAATATCCATATGAAGAGGAAGTATTGCTGCTGCCATATTCAGTATTTTTGATAACGAAAAGAGAGACAATCGAACTTCAAAATAACAAAGGAAACAGAATTGAAATTGAATTAGAAGAATGTGATGAGATACAACTAAGAGAGAGCCTCCGTCACCAGTAAAATGTTTCGTATTGAACAAACCTTTATCGGCTAACGAGAAAAGTGATAAATATATTTGACTTTGTTTTTATTTATTTTTACGCGAAGTTTCGGAATTATAGAAATCTTGAAAGAGCTTCTTCCATGTCTTGTCTTTTATAACTTGAACCGATTTACCATCTTTACAGAAAGCAATGATCTTAACAGAAGTCAGCAGTAGCATTAACAATTGTGTCAGAGAATATCGTGCGTAGACATGTCACAACACTAATACGGTTTTGAGGTATTGATAGTGAATAGTATTGACTGATATTAGGTATTGATTAGTGTCAGAATCATCATTCGCCAATACCAATATAATTCAAGATCTACAATAGATGCCCACAGGAAATTATGCATCAAACAACTGCTATCAAAGAGAT